TTTTGAGGGGTTTTGGTGAAGATTAGACTTGGTTTTGACTGAATTTCAGATTGAAACTCGAAGAAGAAGAAGAAGAAGAAGACATATTTCCAAAAATTGTAGATAAATTGCAGATTGGGAAGACTAAAACTTCTACAAATCTTCTACAATTATGTCGAAAATGCCAATTATGCTACAATTGAAATGGGAATTGGGATATTAAAATTCAATGTATCCAGTTTGTAGATATCTTGTAGATTATTTGTATTCTGATTGTAGATGCATTGTTTTCTGTTTTCACAAAACGACTAAAGCTTCTACAAAATCTTCTGCAAAAAACAGTCTACAATTTATCTACAATTTTTCTAATTTTTCTACAAATTATCTACAAATTCTAGAAATATTCTTCTTCTTCTTCGAGTTTCAATCTGAAATTCAGCCAAAACCAAGTCTAAATCTTCACCAAAACCCCTCAAAGTTGAGATATAAACTCCTAAACATATTCCGAATTATTTACAACAACACCCAATCAAAACAAATAATGATTTTTGAAAACTCAAATTTGAATTCAAAGCTTCAAAGCTTTTTCATTGGGGTCAATGGTGGAACTCAAAACAGAAACGTGGGGGGAGGGGGGAGTGGGAAGATACGGTCCTATAATTATGCCTAATATAAATGCACCCTTAATTTTTTTTTGTGTGGTAATTATAAGATTTTATTACCAAGTAAATATTTACACAGCATTTCAAACAAGTCATGAAGTTGGACAGATGCCCCAAACTTCATTATACTACCGTATCATCTAACCATACTATTAGCAGCCTTTACATGGTGCTATATCCTCTACTCCTCTAAACTAGGATAGTGATCTAGCTGCTTCAGCATTGGTATCAGCTTCTTGCTCCTTCTTCCCTTGCAATGTATCTCTTGAATGATCTGCTTTACCATCATTGCTGCTGGCCTCATTTTCTGTTGGAATATTTTGTTGTTCCTCGCTAGCCATATGTAATACACACTACCTGCTAGGGCCATACGATAGATTTCTGCACTGTTTCCAGAAGCATTGTTCCCAGCCCATTCCACTTCTTCCTTCCATCCCATAGCTTGCCTTTGGACTCCTTGCCAATCCAATAGCTTTTGCCAGACTTGAGAAGTAACTGGACACTTAAAAAACAAGTGCTGGATGTCTTCTTCCTCATTGTCACATAATGTGCATGTCGTATCATATCCCATGTTCCACTTTTTCAGTCTCATCTTCGTGTAAAGCCTGTCATATAATGGAAGATACAATATGAAAATCCATTTTGGGCATCCCTGATTATTACATATCAGTTTCCTCCATTGCACTTTGGGGTGTTCTTCTCTCAGCTTGTTGTACATTTGCTTTATTAAGTATTTGTCTTCTTCCAGGAACTCCTCATTTGTTACCCCTACTTCCTCCAAATACTGTTTAGCTTTAAGAATCTTCTGTATTAGCCATGAAGCCTGTGTAGTCTTACTGTCCCATACTTGTGCTCCTTTTATGTAATAGCTGTGCACCCATTGAACCCACAACCTGTCCTTCTTCTTGCATAAATTCCAGTAGTGTTTAAGTATAACAGCTTTGTTCCAAATGCATATATCTGTTATGTTGAGCCCCCCTGCTGTTTTTGGCAAACAGATTTTATCCCATGCTATTAAGGCCTTGTTGGAACATTCATTATTCCCATTCCACAAGAATCTTCTACAAATCTGTTCAGTTTTTCCCATCACTTTCTTTGGCAGTATGAATATTTGTGTCCAGAATTGTTGAATAGCTGTGAGAACACTTCTAATCAGCTACAATCTTCCTGCATATGAGAGCATTTTTGCTGTCCGTGAGGTTATTCTTCCTACCATCCTTTCCATAAGTGGCTGGCATTGCCCAATTGTTAATCTCTTTGAACTCAGTGGTACCCCCAAGTATCTGAAAGGTAGAGTTCCTGCAGAAAAGCCTAGCTCCTTTAGAATTTGTCCTTGTATTTGTTCTGGTACTCCACCAAAGTATACAACACTTTTTCCTTGGTTTGCAATTAGTCCAGATGCCATAGAGAATTGTTGAAATTGTTTGTATAAAAGCTGAGCAGACATTACATCCCCTCTACAAAACAACAATAAATCATCTGCAAATTCCAACTGTATTATGTTCATTTTAGCACATCTAGGATGATAATTGAAGTCTGGATTCCTTTCCAAAGTCTTGAGAGATCTGCTTAAGTACTCCATGGCAATCACAAACAAGAAAGGTGATAGAGGGTCACCTTGTCTTAGTCCCCTTTTAGCACAGAATGGAGCACTTGGTTTACCATTTATGATGACTGAATAAACACGGTAGTTAAACACCCCATTATCCATTTCACAAACATATCTGGGAAGTTTAGTGCATGTAGAACTTGTTCAAGAAACACCCATTCAATAGAATCATAGGCTTTTTGCATGTCAATTTTGAATTATGGTATATAAATGGTAATTTGGTATACTGAAATGTAATTAACTCAAACCTTAAACATTGAGGGTAATAAGGTTTCATATGTGGTATAGGAAGGTAAAAATCCCAAAATCCAATTTGAAAAAGCCCAAAAATCCAAGTCCAAGAGAAGGCAATACGGAGAGAAAACGGACATTTCTATTTTTTTTAAAGAACATTTTGTCTTTTTCTGCTGGATCTGATCAAGGATTATGATCCGTAGTGATTTGTAAATTCCAGACGACTTTCTTGATATTAACTTTTCTCATTATCAGCTACTGGCCAGTGGCCACATAAGTCATGGAAATTAAGCAAATCACTGAATGGAGCACGAGTTGATGAAATAACTGAAGGATAGTGAATTTCTATTTCTCGTCATCATTTGTTACACGTATGCTTACACAAATTCAGAAAGATGGATTTTTTTTTGGCGTTGTCTTTCTACGTGTATCAAGCAACAAAATTCTAAGGAAATGATGCGCTCTATTAAAATGGTTTGAATCGAAGTCACCATTTCTAGGTCGGCGACTACATTTTAGACATGTTTGAACATTAATTGAGAAAAGTGTACGTTAAAGTTATTGGGATAGTATAATAATGCAGCTACCTTTTTTCTAAAAAATATTTTCAAATCAGTGTTTGGTTATATAGATAACTGAATTTTTGAAGATGAAAAATTTGAGGATGAGTTTCCAATTCGAGAAAGTGATATTTTTTTTTGAAGTAAACGATATTTTTCTCTCACAAAACTGAAATATTCTTTTAAAGTAGAATGCCTATAGAATACAATTTTAATTTTTAAATATATATCTTTTAACTTAACTTTAAAAGTTTTTTTTTCTTTTTCAAATTTCTCAGTTTTTATGTCCAAATGGCTACTAATAGGACTCGAAAGGAACTCCTTTTGCAACTAATTATAAATGATAAAAGAAAGAGGAATTTTCAGAAACCACTATTGTTTAGTGTCTATTAACTTTCTATAACTACCATATACATAATTACTTTCTATAGCTACTATTCAGTTGTTACGATAATGTATTCACTGTATTCGCGTTGTTGTATTTATGAATATAACATCAAAAAATGCCTAAAAATCAGGGTAGTCCAGCTGTACGCAGATATATTCACATGTATTCGCGCCATGCATTCATGAATACAATAGCAAAAAGTGCCTAAAATCATGACAGTCCATCTGTACGCGCATATTTTCACATGTATTCATGCTGTTGTATTGATGAATACAACAGTAAAAAGCACATAAAATCAGGCAAGTCCAGCTGTACGCACATGTATTCACATGTATTCGCGCCATGTATTCATGAATACAACAACAAAAAGCGCCTAAAATTAGGGCAGTCCAGCTGTACGCGCATATATTCACATGTATTTGCGTTGTTGTATTCATGAATACAGCAATAAAAAAATGCCTAAAATTAGGACAGTCCAGCTGTATGCACATATATTCACCCCATGTATTCATGAATACAATAATAGCAATCACCTTAAAAATAGGTTTGTCCAGCTGTCTAAGAGAGAGGAAAAACATAAATAGCGTATTTAATGCCTTATTTTATGCTTCAATGGTAGTATATACCATAAATACTTATTTTGCTATAAAATATAAAAGGTAAATATAGAAAATAATATTTTAAAATAATTTTAGTTTATAATAAATAAGGCGTATACCTTTGCTATAGGAGCTATAGGAGGTAAAATATTCTTAAAAAAACCTATGTTGCTCTGGTCTTATGTCGGATACTCCAAAAAGTTATTTACGTATCGAAGGATCTCATAAGGATGCAACAATATTTTTAAACAATTCTAACAACCTAAAGAAAAATTAGAAAGAAAAAAGAGCTGAATACCTAAGTTACCAAACTAGTAGACCTGCATCATTACTCAATTATTCTAGTCAAACTTAATGATAGGTAGTTTAGAGTGTTTTCTCATAGTGGAGAGCATGACCTAATTGGTCCATGTATGATAGAACCCTTTAAAACCCCTGTTTGTTGGAGGTTGGTACTTCACAAAATAATATAAAATAAAAATACTATTTTTAATCATGATTTGGATTGGGCTTTGCCCTTTAAAGGACTCTTAATCCGTTCTCTTTTACAACAACAACGACGACCTGTAAAATCCCATAAGTGGGGTGTAAAAAAAGTAGTGTGTACCGGATCTTACCTCTACCCCGATGGGGCAGAGAGGTTGTTTTTGACAGATCCTCGGCTCAAGAAGTAAAAAAAAAACGAGAAGAAATCATATATCAGTACCATCAACAGAAAACATAGAAATAGTAACAGCATCATAAAAAGCAGAAAATTGATGACATGTAATAACAATAACTAGTAATTAAGGCCCGTAGCTATGAAAAACAGAACGATAGTGTGAACAAAACATTAATCACTCGCCGTTCTCTTTTACACCAATCATTAATTAGTAAGACTTAATTATTTTATTTTCGATCAATAAATTGTCAACTCTTCATACATATAGATAGACAAAAGAAAGATATTCAAGAAATGAATAAGTAATAGATCATAAATTGATAGGTAAGTAACTACATGTTTATTCAAACCTACAACAACTATCTATTCAATTTATAGTGTAGCTCAAAAGTAGAGAAAACAGAGAAAATGGATAGTAAGATTAGCAGTTTGAAACATCTGTTTGTGACAGTATTTCTCTCAAATTTTGCATTAAATGTGGTGAATCCAGCAATGACTGATATCACTATGGACGCACTTTGCCCTTCTCAAGACAAATGCTCTCTTGCCATTTATCTTTCTGGTTTACAGCAGGCTGTAAGTAGCTACCAGCTCCATCAGAAATAATAGACTCACACCAATTCTTCTATTTTTCATTATAGAGAAAAATACGGATTTGCCTGTCACTAATCATTTGTTGATGATCAATTCATTTAGATTATGGGACTTGGATCAATGTTGATGATGCCACTGATTGGAAACTTATCTGATGTACATGGAAGAAAAGCTCTGCTCATTGTCCCTGTGACTGCCTCCATTCTTCCATCTGGTAAAATTTGTCTTTTTCGCATGCGACTGAGTATATTTTTTCTCATATTTTCGATAAAATTCTTTCTAAAAATATCAATAAAACTGTTCTTCTATATCAATTGTCGCAGAATTATGACTAATTTATTCGATATGTTTAAGTAATAATGGCATATAGGAGGACTACAAACTATTTCTATGCCTACTATGTCGTAAGGACCGTGACTGGCATGCTCAGCTATACTGGCATTCAGTGCCTACCCATTGCTTATGCGGTATTATTTCATTTGAATTTTAGCCTAATCCATTGTTATTTCTTTCTAAGGTTTTTATTGATGGTACTAATATATTGTCTCCTTTCGTTTTCTGAGCCGAGGGTCTTATCGGAAACAGTTTCTCTACCCCTCGGGGTAGGGGTAAAGGTCTGCGTACATACTACCCTCTGTTTGACTCAAAAGTTGTCGAATACTTTACAAGTGAAAACAATCAAAATAAATCAAGGATAAATCGTAATCGAAGATAATGAGACCTAGAGATGTATATTATGTTCTTTATCGATTCTAATAGATCGGATAATAAAGAGAAAGAGAGAATAACTTTCTAGAGATAGAGAGAGATAGAGAGAATTTGAGACTTGTCTAATAATAATGAATCCCCCTCTTTACAACATTAGGATCTCCTTTATATAATAGGAGACCCTCATTGAAATAATAAAATAATACAGAGGTTGGTCGTATCCCTTTGAAGGGACGACGAGACTGACGGTGCCGTTCCTTCCACCATCCCTAGGCCGTACCTCTGCTTCGTTTAATGCTCACTCGTTGGTCGTCCCTGCCGACGTAGGGACGTAACAGGTCGAATTTGACCCTATACACCCTCCCCAGACTCCACTAATGGAATTTCACTGGGTTGTTGTTGCTGTTGTTGACTTTATATTAACTCGATATTTATAGACTCTAAATTTTGAATTCGTATTTGTTAAATTAGGCAGATTACATATCAGAAGAGAAGCGTGCTTCTGCTATTGGAATTGTGGCAGGTGTTGGCTCTGCTGCATATTTATGCGCTACATTTGCTGTTCGTTTCCTCTCCACAGCTCAAATATTTCTGGTTTACATCTCTCTTTATCATCTTCTTATTTCTATTTTGTGACTAATTAACTGTATAATGCTCTTAGTTTCTGTTATAATTTGTTAAATAATTGTTGGTATTAATGAAGGTGTCATCTATTTCTTCAACGGCCGCGGCAGTATACATGACAATATTTCTAAAGGAGACAACTCGTATTAATAAGAACGACGATGCTCTCAATCAACCCATATTAACCAATAATGCTGATGAGTCGGGAGGCGATGATTCCTCAGAGAGAACGTTGAGTCCTAAAAATATTCCGTCGTTTTACCATATTATTAGGTTGCTCAAGAGTAGGTAAGATGATGACATTACCTACAACTTTCTAGTCTATCTTCTAACATTTGGTAGGTAAAATAATACAACGTGATACGCACGGGTGTTCCACTCTCCCGTATATTATGCGAGAGTCAACAAAGTATAGCGGTCCCGCATAATATGCTGGAGTTCTTACACAGGTGCACTGAACTCCCGTATATTATGTTGGACCGGTCTCTGTTGCAGCAAAATAGTGGCTATTTTTCATTGACTTGGTAAACGCTGGCTCTTTTTGATTGACCAGTGCGAAAACTGGCTATACCGTGCTATTTTTACAAAATTCTATCACTAACTGCATTTCTATTCCAACTTAGCTAAGACCGATAGGGTTGATTAGGGCAGTCCTGTGCACTAAGCTCTCGTTGTGCGCGGGGTTTAGGGAAGGGCCGAATCACAAGGATCTGTTGTACGCACCTTACCCTACATTTCTACAAGAGGCTGTTTCCACGGCTTGAACCTGTGACCTCATGGTCGCATAGCAACAATTTTACCAGTTATGCCAAGGCTTTCCTTCAAATAGGGTCGATTGGGTTAAACAAAATAAAATCGAAGTGTATGCATTATAAGTTTAAGAAAGAAATGAAATAAGCATGGCCACTACTTAACCGAGTGTTTCATTTTGATCAAATTTTCTCATTGTTCTTTTATCCTGTTTTGGCAGCACCACATTTTCATTGGCAACAAGTATTGCATTCTTATATGGTATTGGTGAGGGTGGAATACAAACTCCATTTATGGTACTAGCTCTCTTAAGTGTCAATTGCATAGAGAATTAGTAAACCTCACAACTAACATTTATTTGTTTATTTTTTTTGATTATTTTGTAGTACTTCTTAAGGGCTCGCTTTCATTACAACAAAGACAATTTTGCTATTCTAATGTTGATTTGCTACGGTGGAGCAACATTTTCTCAGGTACATGTTCAAATTTATTTCGTCCAGTACAACAACAACAACAATAACAATCCAGTATCCCACGTGTGGGGTCTGGGGCGATTTCGTCCGGTAGATCAAGTTAATTTCATGTAATATTTGTGCTTACAATAATTTTGTCATTAATTCCTTTTCAATTTTTTGGACCAGTTGATCTTAGTCCCTAAGTTGGCTCCTATAATACGAGAAGAGACGATACTATCCTTGGCGCTCATAGCTGGTTTTACCAATGTATGCCTCTCTCTCTCTCTCTCCGCGTGCGCGCGTGTGTGTATGGTCTCTTATAGTTTTATATATATATATATATTCAACATTAGTTGGTAACCTTGAATAGAAAGCGAGCTATGAAGTGACATATTAAATCATAAAAAATGTAAATTTTTATACTGTCAGTGTACAAAACTTAAATTCATTTCGAAATGTATCTTCATAGAATGGAACACATATAAAGGATTTATGTTGATAACTAGTTTGGAATTGAGCAGTTTTAATTAATTGTTTGATATTTGCTTAAACCTTTTTGTTTGTATGTATTAGTGATTGGGGTTTTCTGATTATTCTGCAGATGCTAATAGATAGCATTTCATGGGCAGCCTGGGTAAGATACAGCTTTGAAATTTACTATTGAGGTCTCAGCATAGTTTCCAATTCAAGATCTTTATTTTTTACATTTGTCAAAAATTTCAGGTTCCTTATGTAGTTGCTTTGTTTCCTATGTTTCTCTTCCTAGCAAAACCAGCTGTAAGTTGTCTCTTGTTTTCTCCGAAAAATAATGGACTACTTTTCAATTTTTTATTTTTATTTTTATTTTTTTTTGTACTTTGTTTGATTGATTATCATGGTTGTAATATTTATCTAAATGCTTTATTCAATTTAGCTACAAAGCATTGTTTCAAAACAAGTTGGGCCAAACGAACAGGTAATTTAGCATAAATACCTTTCATTAGCTATATACATCACTGTGGTATACAATTGACCTTGATTTATACTTTTGTACAAGCTAAGATTACAATATTAGGATCTAATTAAACTATGAAAAGTATCTTTGTTATAAATAGAATCCTATTTATGGTGAATGTCCATATTTAGAGAGATTCTAGGGTTTATTACTTGGTGGCTAAGTCACCATCTCCTTATAAATAGAGGGTTCTATTCCATTGTAATTCATCCCAAAAATTCAATAAGAATTTCCTCTCTCTCTTTCTCTGCAATATTGTTCTTCTTCTTTTATTATTTCATAACACGTTATCAGCACGAGACTCTAACCAATTGAGTAGAAGCTTTGGGATTGAGCATAATGATTGTCAATTATTCCATTAACTTCCTTCATGATTAAATTTTGGATTTAAGGTAAGTATTTTACCGTATTTTTCTCTTTTATTCTATACTTTGATTTTAAATACAAGCAAAGACAACAAAGTTTGATTATAACTCTAATGGAGTTTGTAAGAAATTATAACCACCTGAAGTGGTAAAATTTTTATGCCTCGCCATGATCAAATTCATGTATGATTGTGGGCAAAGAATTGAAAACCCGTCCCATTGAATTTGCTCCATTCTCATTCCCTTAAGAGAATGTGATAGCAGTATGTGATAAGTCTGAAAGAAGACAAAATTATTACTATGAATGTATCAATGGATATGGACGTGGCAATAGACGAAATTATAATCGTCATCATTTGTGGTAATGAGAACAATAAGGATTCTCAAAATAATCTTTCATTCTGTGAAAAATATTTGTCATCGATTTGACATAAGATTTTGTAAAGCACATATAGATGATTATGGTCCATTCATGATGTGAATGTGA